AGCCCTGTCTCCCGAAGCCGAGGGAAAGCGGCCGCGGGCATATACACCCAGAGCCCGCCTTCCGTGCCCACCGCTCACCTGGAAGGCAGGGGGATGCACCATTTTCGGGACGCGCTTGGAGATTAGGCTGATAAAACCCTCAGCCTCTCTCTGGGACGCTTCCTAAGAGACCCAAATGTACACGCCCCACCTCTGTGCATTGTCTATTTATAACACCGTGAGCGGATTTGGAAGGAGAGACAGACACAGACAGACTTGATGGATGTGTACGCGGAGGCTCGCCTACGGGGCGGGGAGGCAGGGAGAAGGTTGAAGGCGGATCCCTCCCCCTCTGTCTGCACCTGGACGCCACGCACTGAGGATTCAGCGCCCCAGCGCAAAGGCACACCTCTGGGCTGCCCCTCACTTTGCCTCATTTTCCCTCAGAGTGAAGTCAGGATCTTAGAACAGGAGCGCGCAGGACCCACACGCCACCTGTACAGGATTGTGGCCCCGGCCTGCGTGGGTCCAGCGCCTCCGCTGTGGGTGGGATTGGGGGGCGTCCTTCCGGGGGGCTGAGGTCACGCCCCGCTTGGGGTGAGGAAAACCAGGCAGACACCCCTGTCTTCCGAAAGGAAATGAATTTCCATTGACCAGAACTTCCCCTTGCAGTAAGGTCCTGGGTGGTGGTTATCACCCCAGGCATCAGGAAGAGGTTTTTCTTTCTTTCTTTTTTTTTTTTTTGGCGTACTGCGTCTTACTGTCCCTCCTCCATGAATGGATGACGACATTCAGAGCAGCGACAAGAATCCGGTGGGACACTGTTTCCCAAGTGTGTGTTGGTGGGGGCGGGGAGGGTGTCTAATTTTAGCCAGCCACCCCTCCCCCCCGCCTGGCCTTCTCCTGCGGCAGGCTCCCTCTGGGTCCTCGTCTCTGTCCCACAACCCCAAGTGCAGACCCCCACCTCCAGGGGCTTCAGACGACCCACCCAAACCGTTAGCCGTGCACCGGCTCTGCCGAGGGGCCGCCGTGGCATCTGGAAGGGTGAGGGGCTGGGGGCAGGGGCCTTTGGTGCTGGCGTGTGAGACTAACAACCCAGGAGCTGCTTGGAGGATGGGATGCAGAGATGCAGCGGGCCCTCTATAAGGACTGTCACACCCTGCCCGGGGACCTTTCGCAAGCATGCGGTCAAGACAGGCTTTCTCAATCTCAGATCCGTGGACTTTGGGGCTGGATCCTTCTCGGTCCTGGGGGCCCAGCTTGCACACGCGCCTAACGGTGTTGAGCAGCATCCCTGGCCCTCACCCCCTTAAGGCCAGGAGCCCCCTCCCCACGTTGTGACAACCAAAAATGCCTCCAGACTTGCCAAGCGTCCCTTGACAGGGAGGGGCAGGGCAAAATTATCCCCAGTTGAAAGCCACTGGTTTAAAGGCACAGAACCCATGGTGTTGACTGAGTTACAGGATCCTGGAAGGTTATGCCCCAAAGGTATTGTAAAGATGATTTCTAGTCCAGCTCTTTAATTTGGAGATGGGAAAACTGAGGCTGGGAGGGGTGAGTGGCGGAGTTCTGCATGCCTCAGGGTGGACCCCAGTTCTGCCTCATTCTGCACCTCTGACTGCTCCAGACAGCCCAGCTGTAAAGGCCCCATCTAGCATGCTGTCCGCCATCCTGGCCCAGCTCCTCAGAACAATAAAAACAAAACTTGAGCTTTGTGCTTGATAAGAATTATGATCCTGACTTCCAGCCCCAGTCTCTTTCCACACTGCCTTCGTTGGCCCCAGCAGGTTGCCAGGATTTGCTTCTTTATTCGGGGACAGAGAGGCAAGGCAGGTAGCCTGGAGAAGATAGAGGTAGGGTTTGAAAGTGTCGGTCCCAGCAAGGAAGCTTAAGTATATCAGTCCCTGACACTTTAGTATAAATGATTTTAATTGGATTTATTGCTGCCCAGTTTAAGTCCAAGGTAAGGGAGGGATGATGAGCCCTAAGGAGCATGGACTTTGGAGCTTCGAAGCGAAGGGCGCTTATATCTGGGGGCTCAGCTCTCACCTGGGTCCCAACTCCAGACCTACGTGGATGTCATCAGCCCTCTACACCTCTGTTTTCTCACCTGCGTCATGGGGCTAGGCGACGATTCAATATAATAATGGATCCAACACTCTTACCGATCTGAGGTGCCACACGTGGGGGGGGGGGGTTGTTATTACGATGACTGTCCAGTAAAACCTCCACGTGGCTCTCCTTCAGGACTCAGCTCTGCTTCAAGCCAGCGCGCCTCTCCTCTGTTCCCATGGGGACCACTGAAGCTACGCTCCGGATGGAAAATGTGGACGTGAAGGAAGAATGGCAGGACCAAAGCCTTCCCAGGTACAGCTTCCCCATTGCTGCGTCAGCCCTTGCTGGGGGCGGGGCGGGCGTGGGGTGGGTGCCCACCGCCTCTCCTCTGAGGTGGGGCTTGGGGGACGCCGGGCACATAATGAATACTTGCCGAATTATTTAAGATGGATCCCCGCCCCCCCCCCCCCCCCCCCCCCCCCCCCCCCCCCGCTCCCATTCCCATGCTATTTTAGGAATTCCGAACATTCTTCTACAACTGCCTCGTGGACGATTAATATTCTTACGGGTGTTCCCACGAATCCGGGGGAGGGTGTGTTTTTACCTGTGGCAGCCGGAGGCATCTTGCCCTAGCCCTGCTTAAAATCCCTGGAGTGGCCCCCAAAGATGTCCGTGTCCTAATCCCTGGACTCTGAAAATGTGCCCCTCTGGGGCAAAGACACTTTGCACGTGTTTAGGCCAAGGATCTGAAAAGAGGGAGATGACCTTGAATTATCCAGGTGAGCCCTCCATATCATCCCAGGGTCCTTCTGAGAGGAGGCAGGAGACTCGACTCAGGAGTAGGGGCAGAGGCGACGGAAGTGACAGACTGGTGTCACAGGAGGGAGGGGCCACGAGCCAAGGGGGAGGAGCACCTCTGGAAGCTGGAAAGGGGACAAAAGCAGATTCTCCCTTAGAGCTTCCGGAAGGAGCCAGGCCTGCCCACACCTTGCCTGCCGCCCGGTGAAACCGACCTCAGACTCACTTCTGGCCTCTAGAATCAAAAGAGAATGAATCTGTTGTCGTTTTAAGCCCCTAAGTGTGTGGTCATTTGTCACAGCAGCCCCAGGAGACCCTGCGGTGAGCCTAATACCCTAAATATTGTCCATGCGTATCTCGTGTGTGGTCTGTTTCCCCCCCCAAATGGAGCCCCGCGAGAGCAGGGGCCTTTGGTTGGATCGCTGTCGTCCGGCAGCACAAAGACAGACTCTGGTATACAGTCGGCACTCAGGAGACACCGGCTGAGCGGGTGACGGCCACTGGTAGGAATAAGAAACTGGGTAGGAAGGAAGCCGTGGGCCTCCAGTGCCAGGACGCATGAGCCACCAGGCCTGTGTCCCTCTCTTCGCTCTGCTGGGTGGTGTCGGGTAAGAGAAAACACGGGTCGGCACAGGCTCCCCTAATCCGATGGCTGGACACAAAGTGCATCTCTGCCCTCCTTTAGTGTGAGGGTTTTGCCCCAGGGGATGCTGTCCGAGAGCTCATTATATAACTGTCTGGAAAGGAACAGACGAAGGAGGGAGGGTGCTCACCCTAGAAAAGAGGATCCCCGTCGCTGAGGGTGCCGAGGGCTTCCTCGTGCCTCAGTTGTCCTGTCTGTGAATCGGGTCGATAATGCCTCACTCACAGAGTTGCTGGAAGAATTCTCTGAGGCGCGCAGGGCAAGGCGGCCGGGATGGGCCCTCTAGATGACGAGGGCTGCCCAAATACATTGCCCCCCACCCTGGACGCTTCTTCGCCATATCTCGTTCACTCGCACGCCCCCTGCCCTGATCTTTTAAAAGACACCCCCTCTCCCAAGACCCTTGTTGAGACAAAACGGGGCAGCCGCAACTATGACTTTTAAGTGAGTTTCTCCCAGCTGCAGAGGGTCGCTGTCCCTTTTCAGTAGCCCAGTGTCTGCGGCACAGTGGCCCTGCTGTGCCGCCCCGGGACGCGAGCCAGCCCTTTGCCAAGGCTTCTGCCTTCCCCGCCACGGGGGGAGTGAGTGCAGTTCCTTCATTCGGCACCCGGCCGCGTCTCCACATAAGCACCTCTGTCTGGTGCCAGACAACCCACGGTTCTGTTCCTTCCAGCCCAGTGGTCCCCTTCCCGGGGGCGTCTTCCAGCCTCCCCAGGGTGTCAGAGTGCTTGCCCTGTGCCCGCAGCCCCTCCCGCTGCCATGACCTTGTAGCATCTTCCTTGTCTCCCGCCCTTCTGCAGGTTCTTAAGGATCCAAAGGGCAGCCCAGAGATGATGTAGCTCTCTCTGCCCTATTTCTCCATTCATTCTCTGTAATGATATGCACCAGCTGTATGCCAGGCCCTGGGCGAAACACTCGGGACACGTAGAGAACAAGACAGATGCCCTCATGGGGCCTTTCCTCTGGGGCAGGGGCAGGCCATTCCCTCATAAACTTCACAACCCAACGTAAAGTTGCAGCTGGGTTCATGGTACTTGGGAGAGTGCCCAGGTGGGGTCTGACCAGGTTGGAGAGATTGGGGAGGCTGGAGAGGGTGCTGACCCCGAGCTGTGAAGGATGAAGAGGGACGAACAGGGGAAGGAGACTCTGGGTGGGTCCTGAGTATTCCAAGCTCTGAGAGCAGTATGTGCAAAGGCCCTGAGGCCAGTGGAGGCAGGTTGAGGGGCAGAAGAAAAGCTGAGGGGGATCTTGACCAGAGTCTCACAGGTCAGAAGAGGCAGGTGCAGGGATAGGTGTCTTACTGGCATCTCAGCCCGCCTTTCCCTCCACAAGCAAGTGGCTATGGGTTCTGTTGCTTTGTAACTTTTTATTCTGATGTCGTCTCAGACTTTGAGGAAAGATTACAAGGATGGTCTAAGTGCTAACTGTAAACCTTTCCCCAGATTTGCCAACTAACAGTTCATTCCTTTTGCTTTATCATTCCCTCCCACCTCCCTCCTTCCCTCCTGTGTCTCTCCCCTCTCTCTGTGTCTCTCTGTCTCTCCCTTCCTCCTCTGTCTCTCTCTGCCTCTCTCCCTCAGCCCAGCACACGCACAGAGCTAATTTTGTGTTGCACACACCTCAGCAGGTCCCAAAAGATGTGTGCAGGAGTCGTGGGCCCTGACCGGCTGGAGCATTTCTGCCGTCCTCAGCCCCGCCCTTCTCCACGCTGGGCTCGTCTCTTCTAGTTTCCTCCTCTGTCTCAGTTGGCTTGGGCTGCCAGACAGAGTATCACAGACACTTCCTCCCCGCCCTGGAGGCTGGAAGTTAGATCCGTGGGTTCGGTGAGGGCTCACTCCCTGGCTTGTAGACAGCCACCTTCTTGTGTCCTCATGTAGCCTTTCCTCTGTGCATGCGTGTGGAGAGATTGCTCCTGTCTCTCTCCCGCTTCTTATACGGCCACGCCCGATGGGATCAAGGCCCCGAAGGACCTCAGTTCACCTTCATTGCTTCTTAAACGCCCCATCTCCAAAAACAGCCGTATTGACGGTTGGTCCTTAGATGTTTGAATTGGCAGGGGTGAGGGAGGCAGGGAAGACACAATTCAGTCTGCAAAAACACAGCTGACTACTGGGGGGTGGAGTCAGGGCTGCTAGGGTGGAGTTGGACTGCTGGGGGTGGAGTCGGCACTGCTGGGGGTGGAGTCTAGGCTGCTTTGGGTGGAGTCAGGCTGCTGGGG